CCGTTGACGTAGTGGGTAAACCCACCATAGCCGCAGAGTACCCATATTCGAAAGTGGGGCACTCCAGCACACTGTGCATTCGCATGAGAATTGTCCTGGAGTACCTATACTTTCTTCACTGGCGGAATTGACCGTTTTCTACAACTGAATTAAGGAGAGCGCCTATCACGTGCGGTGAAACGAATAGTTTTCGTTCGCTTTGCCTCGAATCACAATTCAGCTCACGGAAGCAGCGACCGGAGAGATTCTCATTATCGGTATGTACCGCAACTACCGAGTGTGGTTAGGTTTAGATATGGACAGTTTGGTCTTTCTAATTTAACTTGGCTTGGCACGAAAAAGAGACGCTAAATAGATACGATACATTCGAATATTTTGTACTTGGACGATGTGCTTCCGTGGAAATGCGTGTGTTTACACACGCGTTAAATTCCCTTGAGCAGAAGCATTCTCTAGACTTGCTAGAGGATCTACGTATTTCACATTTGACGGTACCATGATGATGGTGATGATTTCTGTAACGCCAACTCTTCATAACAATCGTTCCTAGTTTAGTATTCGATCGAACAAGCAATGACCATCACCAGTGAATCATGTAGATGAAGCCTCCTCAATTACAGTTCGCCGAAATTTCCGGGCTACAAGGTCCTGCATTACTGGCCTTCATGCATTGTTGTTGGGCTTCGTTTTCGCTTACATTGGTCGTTGCTTCAGTCGTTTAGACCGAACAGAGCGGTGCCTTAAAATGGTGTCTCATCCACAAAAAGCATATGGCTTTTTTACTATTTAATTATCCCAACGTCCGTCTGTTATGTCTGCGTTTAATCACCTCTTATAGATCACAACTGCCCGTAATGTTTGTCTTCACATTCGCTGAATGGCTGGTCCTGTTCTTTCTTCATCGTAAATGTGTAGGTAGAACTTACGGCCTGATTAGGTAGACAGTGCGCTTTGGGTTTGTCTATTTAATTTAGAAACATGTGGTGGTCTAGGTTCGAAACCGGGCCTAAACGCGCCTACCTAGCGTTGCGTTTTGCATTTTTTTTTATCTCTACTCCCTGCTGTACCCTCCTCCTATGAAACCACGCACTGTTTAACGGCAGAGTCAACAAAAGTGAGGGCAACTTTTGTTGTGAAACGTTTGCTGCTGCCGGATGTGTACGATATGGCTGCCATCGCTCTGGCCAATGCCGATGTTGCTGGAACCGATAATTATGTAACGCTTGTTAGTTAAATTAGATCAGGTCATACACTGGATGCGCTATATATGGATTTGCGAAATGAGCTTCTTTGTTGAAAGCTATCATATGTAAATTCTACACCGATTGAAATGTCCAGCCCTCTGTATCCCGTCGCAGTGAGCCAAATTCACAGATCGCCAATGAGCTGCAAAATGTAGACATAGGGATTCATCGAACGTTTCGTTAGGGATGGGCCACAAGCCATTTATTAGTCAACGTTAAGCGACAATGGCGACGAAATTTTCTGGTGCTTTTGTCGTCTGCTGGTGCTGAGTCATCAGCTGGTTTACGCAGTTATTGACGGAGTACATAACAGTCGATTAGGACGCCTTGCCTGTCAGCAGCGCCACTCGCTGCCGCATTCGTCTAAACCTTTCAGCTAAGATAAGTTTAAATCGGAGCGACATTTACCGTTCCGGGGGTAACATCGACGCTCCTACAACTTATCATTCAAGCAGATCATAAATAATGTACCGTGATAAGCTGGAGCAACGCTGACTAGCTCCGTGAGCCAATAAACTTGTATAGCAGCCGCTGCAGCTGTAAGTATGAGAGACATATGCATCTATACAAACTTTTATCAATAGTAGAGTTTTTCTCAAGATCGTTGCGTCTTATGAAAGCAAGAATGCTATAGATCCATAAGGTACGCTTCATGCATATGCCATCTTTTATTTCATATAGCATATATCGAACATACAAAGTCGCCGTTCTTAACTGCCACTGAGTTGTCACGTCGACGTCATGAACATGCTTCTTCTTCGACCAGGCTTCGTGTAACCATATGATCCTTTCGTAACAAACGAAACACAAAGAGGCCTTTTTTTTGCACTCACTAACTGCAGAGCCGACAGAACTCGGGCCGAGAAGTGTGGCCTTTGACACACCCAAGAACGTTGTCATACTTAACAGTGTGCAGGATCAGCTTAAGTTCCGTACATGTATCTTGCAGGTTTAAGATTAAAATTCGTCACGTAGGCGCTCAATTTTTTTTCTGCTCTGACAGCGCGGACCTTGACGCTGCGGCCGAGAGTAGTTCCGATAAACTATGCATATGTGTAATAAGTGGATTAGTT